AGAATACATTGTGAGGAGTATATGGGATAGATCCATCTTCATTCTTTGTAGATTCTAGAACATTCCTGGGCATAAACAGGGCCCTCAGACACTTCTTGTATATGTGTGTGTGTGTGTGTGTGTGTGTGTGTGTATACATAGGTATATGTATTATGTATGTATATATATTCATTCACTGTCCCTCGTGCTGGATACACCCCCACCTTTTTATAAAATTGCACTTTGGCTGAATGCTCCCCACAAATGCCAGGAAGCACCATAACACAGTGCAGGAACTGTACTCTGGGATCACTTATTGAAGTGTTTTTGAAGCTCGGTGTCCCTCTCTGCTCTGTATCCCCTTTTAGGAATTCTGGTGGGGAAACTTCTCAGATTCCAGTACCTGGAAGGGATGGCTGTGGGCAACCAGCGGGCTTTCATCTGATCCCTTTATTGTTACACAGCGGAGGCCCTCTGTGCTTGTGCTTGTGAAGGGGGTCTGATTCTAGTGCTATTTTGTACTGGATGCACCCTAATATATGTGTGCATGTGGAATGTGTGCATGTGGAAGAAGTAGCAGACAGACAGGTGCTTACCTCTTGGAAAGGAGTAGAGTTGGGGGGGGGTGAGGAGGTGAAGAGAGAGCTGTGCGTTTTCACTGCCTCATTGTTTCTCAGCCTTGCTTCCATCATTGCTTTCCCAAAGAAAGCTTGTAGATGTTTTTCCTAATTGCCTCCTGTCTCCCACCCAATTTAGTACAAAGGGATAGAGTTTGTTGGGGAGGGGCATAGATTATTGTAATGTCTATGGTAGTTTTCAACCCATTTTCACCCTTTTGGGGGGCAGTATTATAATACCCCGTTGAAAATACAGGCCTTACATACTTCTGTATTATTTATTACTTACCGTTTATTATTATTTTTTAAACAACTGTTATTTTAGAAATCCAAAAGAACAGTCCTGGAGCTAGAAAGTTTCAGCTGCCCTGGATCCAGAGGACGACTCCACACCGGTGCTCTTATTTCTGAGGAGCAAAGGGGGGGCAGCAGGTTGAAGCCACACTGGTCCTGAGGAAAGGCACAGGAGGAAGGGGGGGCACAGGATGAAGGGGGGGCACCTGCAGATGTCAGCGGGGTGGGAGCAGGACAGGCAGGGGGCCGGTCACCCAGCCCAGATGCCCCAGAGGCCTATTCCTGTCTTCATTTTCTTCATCTTTTGATTGTATTTGGCAAGGGGGATGTTGGTGAATATTAGTGAGGAGCCTGCAGTGGGTGTTCCCAGTGGGGGTAAGAAAGTTACCTGGAAGTGTGCCTCCCCATGAGAACGGTCAGGAGGCCTGGCTCTGGGAAAGGGGTGTTCGGGAAAGGAGGCCTGGCCACCAAGAAGGGGCCCCCTGTGCGCTCTAAAGACCCAGGCAGAAACTCTGAGAAGGTGGTTTGGGAAGATCAGATAAAAATCAATCTTGAAGAAGAGTAAAGAAAATGATGTTTATAGATAACACGGAAGAGTGATCTTTTAAACAAATCAGAGTGGAATTCCCATGATGTATTAACGAAGTAATTTTCTAAGCTAATTTTCTTGTTTCAAGGAAGAAAGTGTCTTTTTTCTGCCTGATGTTCAGAAATTAAAGCTTTTTAGATAGAAATGGTGAATGAATTTTATCGGCCAAAGCTTTTTAATTGCTTTTAGGCCCTCAATTTTAAAAGTTGTATATATCAAATAATTTAAAAATAACCTCTGTAGTTAAAGAATATAACCACATTTGCTTAGGTTTTGTTCTGATACACTTTTAAAGGAAGCACTTCCAATTTCTGTGTCCTATGGAACAGTGCTGCAGGCCAGGAGCTAAAAGATGATTTGAAACAGATTTTTTTTTTCCCTAGGTGATTTCATAGGATTTTTTTTTTTCATTTTAAACTTTTTTTTTTTTCAAACAAGTACATACTCCTGAAATTTGAATTGTTTAGCTGACCTGTCTACAGAAAGCTCACTTATTTAAAAAAAAATATTAGCAGGCATCCCAGGTGGCTTAGCGGTTTAGCGCCGCCTTCAGCCCAGGGTGTGATCCTGGAGACCCTGGATCGAGTCCCACGTTGGGCTCCCTGCATGGATCCTGCTTCTCCCTCTACCTGTGTCTGGTTCCTCTGTGTGTGTGTGTGTGTCTCTCATGAATAAATACATAAAATCTTAAAAAAATATATTAGCAGTCTTTAGATAGAAAAATCCTTGTTGCTCCTTCACATAAAGGAAAACTCTAAGCCAGAACCAAAGTTACAGAATGTGGATGCATACTGACTTTGCATTTTTAGTTTATCGCTTGGGATCTTGAGCTTGGCATGTATGTGCTTATGAATTTTTCCTGTGCATGTGCTATTACATTAAGACTAGAGAGTCCACTGTCCAGAGCCCCATCTTGCAACTAGTTGGTGGTAGAGTCAGCATTTGAACCCAGGTCCAGCCGATTGCAGTCCTTGATTTTTCTCTCATCACTCCCTTGATGAGAGCAGTCAACAGAGAAGATAAATTTCTCTCTGGCTCTTCTACTAGGATATTTAAAGTTAGATCTGTAATCACTTTGTGGTTTGGGGCATAACATTGAATCTGTCAGACACATTTGAGTAAATGAAAAATAAGCTTTTATGGGTTTTTTTGTTGTTGTTGAATACTGATTGGTCTCATTTGGTCTCATCCCCTCAAAAAATACCCCAAACTCTTAATAACATAACTTCCATTTTCGACATTTGAAAAAATAAAAAGAATGAATTTCTTTATGATTTTTGCCGATTGACAGATGGTTCAGACAACATAGAATGGGAAGACACCTAGTATACTCCTTGAATTCAGCCTTCTTGTTGTATGGACAAGAACTGGGTCAGAAGTAAGATGAATGAACTGTGCCCCATAGCAAGGTGTAGAGCCAACTCTCATCTAAGATAGAACTTCTCCTACCTTAGCACACCCTGTTTGTCTTTAGATTTGTGAAATGCAACTCCTAATTGAGAGTGCTTTGCATCTGAAAAAATATTAACTCAAGATTGCTTTCCACAGCTAATGCTTAAGGAGTACTTGTTTTTTTTCTTTGCCTTTCCCGTTCCATCCATACCACAACCCCTCCTAGCCGCCCGCATTGATAGGTTTTGTTCTAGTCACTTAGAACAAGAATCCAGGATGAAAATATAGTTGTTTTAAGATTTTTTTCTGCCAAATTATTTATTCCATTTTCTAAAGGTGCCATTATATAGATAGAGATGGCTGATATGCTGGAGCGGGACATGGCGGTGGGGGGTAATACTCATTATCTAAGAATGCGTATCTGAGGTATAATAGGAGTGGTGGCACCTTCCTGCTTACCATGGTGAGGTGTCTGTCCCTTTGGCAACACCTTCCCAGCATCACTAACCTCCTTGTTTCCTATTCCCACATCCAGATCCTATGTAACCACGACTGGCAGGAAATCAGAATAAATGTGTGTGTGTGTTTTTAGGCGATGGAAGTTACTAGAGGGTAGACAACTAACACTTGTTGTGTACTAGCTTTACATTGTACCTGACCTGTCTTTTATAAACTAACCTCCAGGCCAGAATTTGATCCATGATACATTGCACAGTGTTGGTTATCTTACTTACGAAAATGTAAACTCATTGAATTTCTGTTTGTAACTCTGGCTAAGTAAATCTACAGCTTAAATAAATTACCCATAATTTGGTCAGAGGCCTAGTGCCATTTCTCTAACTTGGGGGGAAATGCAGGTCAAGGACTGCTGTCTCTCTAAATGACCCTCTAAGGTGAAGCAGAAACCCCACCCGTGCCTCTTGGTGGCGAGGGGCCGGGAGAGGGCTCCTCTGTGGAACTAGAACTTGAAGGCCCTCTCCATAACAAAAATGCCATCAGACTATATTTCAGTAATGAAAGTTAATCATGTTTTATGGAAGCAAATGTTCCTCCGTTCATTTCCATTTCCATGGATGCTGCAATAGTCACTTATAAGCTCATCATGATCTCCATCTCCCTGGGCATTATCTGTGTGTTGTTGGCATTTTCACCTGTGTAATGAGAAGGAAAATGACTCATAATCTTCTCTTCTTTCCAGCTGTGTTCTTCTCAATTAGTAGACCGGCCTCTTTAATATTCCCAGGACAAGGAAAATCTTGGGAAGTTGGGCATTGTGGTTTATAACAATATTTTGTGTAGATTTTATTTTTTCTTAATTGAGGTTTCTGGTCTAAGTATGAAGAAATCTTTGAAAACCTGTGTGTAGTAGGGTTTAGCACATATAATAGAAGAGCACCTGTGTTGCATAGTTGCCGTTATTGTAGAATTCTGTAAGCAAAGAGTTAAATTTTCTTTCCGTTTTATTAAATGTATGTCAGGTACAGTGCTAGATCCTAACAGTCTAGAAGTGACTTCTGGGAGGAGCCCATGAGGGGTATAGACGACAAACAGAGCTTCAATATCATACCGGAAGTACAATAATTAGTGCCGAGGAGTACATGCACGCGCTCACACACAGTGTGCATTTGGCTGAACAGAGGGATACAAACAGCAGAATTTTGCAGGCAACAAAACTATTGGCCTGAAAGGTCTTGGCCAATGAAGATACTATGTAAAATAGTTGCATGTGTCAGAATCCTACACATTTTTTTGTGGGTGGTAATTAATGACTTAATCTTTAAAATTTAATCTAGTTGGTGCCATTTTGTAATATGCTATTAACTCTTGTGCTTCCTGTGTGTTATGAGTGGAAATCTGTCTTCTCTTGATCCATCGTGTCTCCTTCTCTATCCCAGCTTCTTTCCACGTACTATTCAAATTCTGTGTTAACATTTGCCTTCACCAAAGATTTTTTTTTATTAGTCACTGAAGCTGTAATCATTGGTTAGATTTGCCAGCGAACTCTAATGAGTGTAATTTACTGCCTGTCACAGTTGTGGTCTTAATGGATAATAAAAGAGCCAGTTGAGGTCAACAGTTTTTGATGCTTTAGTGAAAATCCTTCCAAAGCTGGTTAACTTGTCTTTCAGATTGCTTCCAAGTATGATCATCAAGCAGAAGAAGATCTTCGAAACTGGATAGAAGAAGTGACGGGCATGAGCATTGGCACCAACTTTCAGCTGGGCTTAAAAGATGGCATCATCCTCTGCGAGTAAGTTGTGGCCATTTCTGTTCTTCTGGTCCTTTCCACAGACTTCTGTGTCGTCCTCCTTCCCAATCCAGGGTGTCAGACCTTGAAGTTTCACACGTTTTCGATGCTTCCTTCACTGATGTGAAAGGAACCAGCTTTACACTCCAGTCCTTGTTCTTGTGTGAACAATAAATGTCACCTACACTTTTCTTTTCAGGCTCATAAACAAGCTACAGCCGGGCTCAGTGAAGAAGGTTAATGAGTCCTCGTTAAACTGGCCTCAGGTAACAGCCAAACCTGCAGCCTCCAGTTACTCTGCATGCAGCAAAGACTTGTTTCGTTTTACAGTAGACATTTTAGCAGAAATTTGTATACGTGGCTGTATTTTGTGTAGTTCTGTGATTGTTAGATGCTGAGCTTAGTCTGTCTACTCTGAGGGAGGATTCAGCACCACTTAGGTGTGGAGAAATAGAAATACAACCCAGACCGTAAGGATAAATGAGGGGGAAAAGCAAGGGGCTTAACATAACTAACATACAACTAATGGTTGACTATAGAGTAACACTGTATTAAGCAGTCTTAGTTCATGAATGGGTCTGATGAAGCAAGCTTAGATATTTTGAGTATGTGTTTTGAGATAATAAGGAAAAAAACATTTAGTAACCACAAATTTATGTTTAAATTGATGTCAAAACGTAACTTATTAATATGAGTAATTACATACCGTTTGACAAAATTTTAGCCCTGGCTAACTCTGACAGAATCATAGAATTCTTAAAAATCTCTGAGGGCGATCTTGGCTTCGAAGAACTGAAAAAAAAATGACTGCATAAAAATATTAAAAAGACCATTATGTGACCCATTATGAAATACTCTCTACTCTTTCCTTTTCCAGAGGGAGCTGTGCTTAGTGTGTTATTGGCCAAGAAGCCTTGCCAAGCAGCTTTCTGCCTGGCACCTTACTACTAGTCACGAAGACTTAGAATTCTTAGATAACGTGAACGTCAGTATTTAGCGCCCCAAGTTACATGGCTCTTTTCCTTTATAGCTGGAGAATATTGGCAACTTTATTAAAGCTATTCAGGCTTATGGCATGAAGCCACATGACATATTTGAAGCCAATGATCTTTTTGAGAATGGAAACATGACCCAGGTTCAGACTACACTGGTGGCTCTGGCAGGCCTGGTACGTATATGTCTTTAATGGCGGATTTTTAGAAGGACCCCTGTTAGTGATGAAGCGCGACTCCTCTCTCCCGTGGGAGTTCAGACGAGGCAGGGAGGGGCCTCTGTCTCCTCCATAATTATTAGTTTTGTGGAAAGTCTGCTGACATCAGCTGCCTCCTAAGAGAGCTTAATTAGAATACTTACATTTCAGAGCTACCTGTATTACTGAATGGCCTTAAATAAGTTTTTCATTCCTGGTTTGAGTATTACCTAATGTAATGAGGCCTTCATCTGTGGACAGTGTCATTTCTTTGTTGTTCCTTCTGCAAAAAAAAAAAAAACTCTTGGCGGAACCTCCACATTTTCGTGTCTCTTTTTAGTAAGTGTGTAAATTTCTGTCTAGGCTAAAACAAAAGGATTCCACACAACCATTGACATTGGAGTTAAGTATGCTGAAAAACAAACAAGACGTTTTGATGAGGGAAAATTAAAAGCTGGCCAAAGTGTAATTGGTTTGCAGGTAAGTAATGTGTTATTACTTGATCAGTCACTTCTTCAGGATCATTAATTCTCACAACGTGAAGTGTGTCTCATAAGTACGAAATGGATAAGATGAATCATAATGTAGGTTTGGGGGATGGATATGTAGTTCATATAATTTATGTCCGCTTAAAGCCTAGGGGACACTGATGATGGCTTTAAAAGAAACCTCAGGCATGCCATCGGACATGACAGTTGTTGCTCTAGAAAATGATTTCCCCCCCACGGTTACATTGTCTTTAAGAAAATGTACTTTGTAAATTACTAAACCTTATTGACCAAATGAGGCAGTTTTACAAAGCCTTAATGCTAAAGCCATTTATCTGCATGATACAGTAGCCAAGCGCTATTAAAAACAAAAACAAAAAAAAACCAACCTGAACTAAGTGTTTTTTTGTTTTTTTACCCCCCTTCACATTGTTCCCCTGGAGAGTGTCACAAAACCACCACTGCTAAATGTCCAATATGCTAAGGGCTTTACTACATCTGATACCTGCTTGATGCAGTGCCTCTCTGTTGACTGAATGTATATGATGTGGATTTATTTTTGTACAGTACAAAATTGTATCTGGTAAGAAACTGGAAACCTGAAATTCAAAACAGTAGTCAGTTGGTTAATTTATAACTTAACAAAAAGGAACTCTAGAGCAAGGTAAAAATGATAGACAAGCATTCAAAGATTAAAGAAAACAAATCAGGTTCTAAAACACTATGGTCAGTGTCCTCACAATTTTAAAGATATTTTTAAAGATTTTTTTAAAGGTATTTTTGTGTGTTTGTCTGTTTGTATGCATGTGTATTGATACATACACAGATACATAAGATAAATCTGGGTGGTAGGACTGCAGTGATTTGTCCTCTTCCCTTACTTTTTAAGAAAAAGGATCAACAGAAATGGGTCCCCAACCAGTAGAATGAATGGGTATAAGTTGGTCTTAAAGCCATATACTCCGTGGAGAAGAGAATTATTGTTCCTCTGAGCTTCACATTTCTCCTTCTTTTTACGTGGCTCTTTTCCCATGAAGATGTTGGTGATTTTGGTGAAACTTTAAAGAAATCCTTGTTGAGCTGCCAGAGAAGACACCTGGCATTTGCAGTCACACTCTATACAAACATCTGTAGTAGAAAAGCCTAGTGCCTAGCCAGAGAGTGCTCCTGTCCCTTTATATGGCTGAAGCAGGTACCTCTTAATTTGGTTATCTGTGCTATCAACAGTAGGGAGAAGAGGAGCAGAGGAAAATAATCATTCATAATTCTGCCCTCTTAAAAACTTGTTTAAAATTTTCTTTTTAAAGTGAGCACCCTGAAATTTGGGAAAGCATGGTGATTTTGTATCTAGCTAGCCTCAGCACAAAAAGGGACTTGTCAGTTGTGCCCCTCCATCTTTTTTTTTTTTAGTAGAACGGAGAGTTTGGCTGGTCATACATGTTGTTGTTGACTTCTGATAATCAGTGCTAATTTTATTTTTATCTTAAAAAGATGGGAACCAACAAATGTGCCAGCCAGGCGGGTATGACAGCCTATGGGACCAGGAGGCATCTTTATGATCCCAAAATGCAAACTGACAAGCCTTTTGACCAGACCACAATTAGTCTGCAGATGGGCACCAACAAAGGAGCCAGCCAGGTAAGCAATGCCTTTTTGTGCTTGTAGCAAAGAGTACGGAAGGGTTATGTAAATTAGCATTTACTTCATTCTTTAAGTTCAAAGGGTGGTTTTTGAAATTTTTTTTGGGGGGGGGCCCTATGGTATATTTAGAGTACATTCCTTCAGGAAAGTAGGTTTTGCTGAGAAAGCAAAAAAAAAAAAATCAGAGGACTCTTTCTATAGTAATACAGTATGGTGTGATTCATGGCTTTTTCTGGCAGTTAGAAGTAGAAGAGCCACCTTTCCACCTAACCAGAAGAAAAAAGATAAGTTTATTATAGCAAGTTTATTTCTTGATCCAAATCCAAGTAAATTGCTATGCCTTGGACTTTAAATTTTTATAGGATCCCTTAATTAACTTGGGAGGTAAAACTATCTGGTGCTCTAAGAAGTACGTAGCTAGCATTCCTATTAAATGTGTGAACATATGTAGGTCGAACTGCAGCGTGGTGAGAAGGCCAGTATTCTAACACCCTGCAAGATGGAAGTATTTCCTTGTTAAAAATAGATCAGCAGCACCTCCCAAGGAGGTTCCCTTAACCACTGGAGCACAGGCAGGTCTCCCATCCAACAAGAGTGGGGATAAGGTTTGAAGAAGCTCTTCCCTGATGACCTCAAGACGAGATTTATTGTTTGCCCTTTCTGGAACGTGTCCTGCCACATGTGGCATTGTCTCTTATAGCTGCCATTCGAGTCTGCTTTTTTTTTTTTTTTTTACCCATTAAATCTGGAAGTGTCTGCTTAGCAGAAATGCAGAAACGCGGTATGAGGTACTGTACTCACAGCTGGCTCTTTGAGATTCAGGTCCTTAAGGGCTGCTCAGTGTCATTTCTGGTGGCCGTGTGATGAGCTTCTGGAATGGGGGGGACTGGAGAATGTATGTGGTCATAGTAGGGACTCATGGTACCTTCCCAGGCTGCCCCACGTTATGCTGTGTCTTTACGTTCTTTCTATCTAATCCTCTCCTAAATCCGAAGTGGGTGGGATTTTTTCCACACTTACAGATGAGAAACTTAAAGTTGGTTAGCTCGTTTTGAGGCAGTTTGACAGCAGAGCAAGGACTTGAAGGGAAGGGCTGATCTGGCCTGAGAGCCGGCGAATAGGGCTTCTTAGGAAGGATTCAGCATCAGGACTGTTGGGTAAGCTCGCTTTGCCCCAGAAAACATGTCCCCCTCTGCATGTTCCCACTCACTGCGACTGCCCTAGTTGATAGGATGTTCGCAAGAACAGGCTTTAGCTGCAGCCTCAACTTCTGTCCTGTGTTCTAATCCCAGGCGGGGATGTTAGCACCAGGTACCAGAAGAGACATCTACGATCAGAAGCTCACACTGCAGCCAGTGGACAACTCGACAATTTCTCTACAGATGGGAACCAACAAAGTGGCCTCCCAGAAAGGAATGAGCGTGTACGGGCTGGGGCGGCAAGTATACGACCCCAAGTACTGTGCCGCTCCCACAGAACCCGTCATTCACAACGGAAGCCAAGGAACAGGAACGAACGGGTCTGAGATCAGTGATAGTGATTATCAGGCGGAGTACCCAGAGGAGTACCCCGGCGAGTACCCAGACGACTACCCCCGGGATTACCAATACGGCGACCAAGGCATCGATTACTAGGTCCCCCCAGGAGCTCAGTATTTAGCCCGTTGTTTTTATTCAGTGAGAACCAAGCTAGCCTTGAGTGATTTTTATCTTGTCTTCCTAAAACACTATTATGCTTATTGTACCTGAAGGAAATACTGCCTTACATACATTCCCTCTTCCTTTCCCTGCCTCTTCCCCCAATAGCTGCCTTTAGTGCCGTAACAGTCCAGTCCCACAGCAGAAGCAATAACTCGCATATGAAGTTAAAAGGAACACTGTGAAAGGGGAGTACCTTCGTGCAGCCAGTTCTCTCATCAAAGACCTATGCATTTTTACGATCTACTTAATAAACTGGGATTTTCAGACAATAGGAAGCTTTTTCTTTCTTTCTTTCTTTTTTCTTTTTTTTTTTTTTTTTTGCAGTCCCATATCTGGTTTCTACGTGGAGGACTAAACTCATGCTTTTAGCTGAATGTGGTCTTTGCCGACTAAATTTAAGATGCAGCGGTTTAAGAGATTTACATACCGGTGTCTCCACAGTATTGTTTGCTAATCTTTAAATAAAGTCCTGATCCGTGTGCATTTGTGATTATATGTGTACTCATTCTCTTACCTGAACTGACCAGAGCTTTCCCGAGTGGGGTTTCTAAAGGAGCGTGTACAAAGTCGGCCTGCAGACAGTCGGGTCTGGGTGGTGCGTTTGCTTCCTGTTTGTGCCAATGTATCAATGTAGAGTTGCTCTGTTCTCTTCAACTGTATTTATTGCTGCGTTTCTCAGCATAAACTTATCCCATTGTATTTTTTATAAATAAATATTTTTTTTGAATGTTCATATGAGCCACAGGCTGATTATTTTCTGGCTGACGTCCAGACAGGTGAAGGCAGAGTTTTAAAAGGTTCCCCCCTCCCCAGGTACTGTTCTGAGACATTCCCTCGTTGCTTTACTTAATCCATACCACGTCACAGCCTGTGTTTGAGACCGAGGCTTAGCAAACTGAAGGGATCTGCCCACGGTACACAGTAAATGACAGCCGAAATTCAAACTATTTTTTGAGCATCATGTGACCCTTGCTTATTCCATTGAGACTCAAATGCCTCAAACTCAACCCAAATCCAACTTGGAATAATCTTAAAATCATTCTGAGGACCATTGGTGAGGACAGGGTAGCAGTATTTTATATTCATATCCTAAGTGCATAAATATTAATAAGGAACCACTGAATTAGGAACAGGATCTACTATTATGGTTCTGGCCTAATGATGGTCAAACAATAAGGACAAAAGTGAAGAAGAATAGGGTCCATCAACCTTACCATTTATTCTGTGAATGACTGAGAAGAAGACCCCTTTCCAGGGACAAATAACTAATGGGCACTGATCACACAACAGCCTGAAGTTCTGTTCCCTCTTCGTTCCTTAATGAGCTCTCCTCTCCCTGTGCCCTTGCTGCATTTAATTTGTCGATCCTTTTGACAAAACTCTGAAACACAAAAGAATGAGTGAGACCTTTTGGCACACTTTTTGGCAACCACTTACTTGACCATATCATTTAGGGGAATTCAATCCTTAAAGTTTTCCCTGTTGAATTAAAATATTTTAGGGGATAGATTTCCAAGTGGATTTTTAATCAGAAAAGTGCAAGTCGGGGAAAGAAGCCTTTGTTAGCTTCCTATCACCATCAGAAATAATTTCCTTAGGGTACATACAAATAAAGTGCTATTGTATTTCTATGTTTTATGTGGAAGAGGTTGAGAATATGTTTAATTTTAAAATCATAGAAGTGCATACTGAACTTCAGTGCCTGGCTGAACCGAAGAGTGCTCTGAATGCGTTTCAAAACCAGAGGGCTGGGATCCCTGGGTGGCGGAGCGGTTTGGCGCCTGCCTTTGGCCCAGGGCGTGATCCTGGAGACCCAGGATCGAATCCCACGTCGGGCTCCCGGTGCATGGAGCCTGCTTCTCCCTCTGCCTGTGTCTCTGCCTCTCTCTCTTTCTCTGTGTGACTATCATAAATAAATAAAAATTAAAAAAACAAAACAAAACCAGACGGCTTTGGGGCCCCTGGCTGGCTCAGTCAGCAGAGCATGCGACTCTTGATCTTGGGGTTGTGGGTTTGAGCCCCATGGTGGGTATAGAGATTACTTAAAAATGAAATCTTAAAGAGCTTTTAACACCTAACTTTTACGGCAACAGTATGAAGGAAAATTTAGTATAAACGTCACTTGACTTAGACAACATGGAGACTTCATTCAGTTGTTAGAATATCCCTGTCTACACCTGATAAGGCAAATAAGCAACGACTGTGTTGGCAACAGCTGCCTGCTATTTCCAGATAGAAGCAGTATGGACTTGACAGGGTGTGGCTTTCCCTGCATCGGTGGGCCTCGGTTAGTAAGAGGCCTGAGAACTGCAGATCTGTGGATACTGGCACAGAGGCCACACGTGCCCCCTGAAGCCCAGAGGGTCTGACGTGATGCTTGAGGCAAGAAAGCTTTAGAGAGAGATCAACTGTTAAGCCTCCAGACCACCCAAAAGGCCAGACCAAGCCTGTGGCACCAAAGGGTCTTGGACTGCTGTGTCCAGAATACCTGCCCAAGGTCATGTAGTCTGTATTAATTGTTCAGTTTCGCTTTTCTCCAGGGAGAAGGGTTCAATGACGGAAGTGGGTTCAGCCTCAGGAAACAGAACCTGAATCTCCAGACATTTAGGCCTGTGGTAGAAGCCCACAGAGCCCTCAGAAGAGAAAATGAGGCTATAAGCCTCCTTTATGTGTGAATCTTCTACACTTTGGAGATTTTGAGGGTTGAGATGGCAACGGGAAGTGAAATGTTTGCTTACCAAAAACTCCTGGTCCATAAAGTAGGGCTTTTCTGATGATCCATCATTTGTTTCCATATCAACAGCAAAACACAGGAGGAGAGCATCCAGCACAGTTTCAAACACAGATAAAAAACAATGGGCTACCAAGTAGGCAAAAAATGCCACCAGCAGCAGAGGGATTGCCCACACCTGGAGGGCACGGTTGTAGTTAAATGCCATCAGTCCTCCAAAAACAGTGAAACACACCACCAACACCTGTCAAAACAAGAGTTTGTTGAAAATATAAATTGGTTGGCTGGAATATTTTAGAAATGATTTTTGTTAGTTACAAGTAAGTTCATATACATGCGTGTGTGTGTGTGTGTGTGTGCATAAGTGTGCCCTATTATAAAAAATGCTTGTCAGAAAATATGGTACAATGAAATTAAGAGAAAAAGAGCCATGATACCAAAAGGGCCCTTTGGAGGAGGGAGAAGAGGGCAGATGCATTTACATGTTTGCTGTGCCTGGTTTTTGTATTTATATAGATGGAATGATACTCCAAAACTTTTAGTTTTTTCACTTGATACTCCTGTAAGCATCTTCATTTAAAAGCTTTTTAATAAGCATCATTTTAAAATAATGGTGCAACAACCCACCGAGTGAATATACTGTAGTTTAGCATGTGATTTGCTTTACCCTGGGGATTAAAGTGGAAAGGTGTTCCACTGCTGGTGTGGGGAGATAATATGATTAATCCAGGCTTTTGCCATATATAATAATTTCCAGGAGCATAATTACAGACTTATGTACCTAATTCTTTAACAGATAAAATGAGGTCCGTCTGGAATCCCCATTGCCCTTGGATATCCTCAATGATGGACGTGAATGTCTGAATGCTACTTCATTCAAGAAATACAGGAAAATGAATTACTGCCTAAAATAAAAGTCTTTTATAAAGACTTACAAAGATTCTTTGGAAGTAGTTATTAGACAACATATCACCCACAATCTTACCGAACTAACATAAACAGTATTATCCATTTAAATACAAAGATTATTTAGGCTGTTTAGAAAGGCATTTATCAGTTTGTACTTCTAGAGCTACTGTTGCATGAAAAAAGTCTCTGGGGCCCAGCTGAACCTTAAAATGAAAATATGTGCAACTAACATACCCCTGTGAAATCCATGCATGTTATAACTTGTTACTGACAGTTAACTCTGATATGCACTAGAGACCTTTACCAAAGGCCACAGAGGCACAAAATGCTAAATGAGCCACGAGTCCTCATTTGACTTTGGCCAGGTTATAACTGGAGACCAAGCTCTTGTTCACTTTGGGGCACCACCGAAGGCCTCAGCATTCATGCCCTTGAAGATGAATGGTTGGAAGAAGCTAGTGTGTCTAAGCTTGGAATAGTGAAGATGTGATAGGAAGGTCAGGAGGTCTGTGGTCAAGAATTTGAAGGGCAGGCAATCAAGCGGAAGTGGAATCAGGCAAGCAGGTGTGCAGGATTAGGCCTGGTGGGTGACAGTCACATGGAAAGGGACACACCATGTGGCACAGTGTAAAGAATCCTCAACTTCAAGCATGGTCAATGAGGGGCTATCCTACCACTTTCATCAATATTTCAGTTACTCTTCCCTACAACCTAGAAAGGCCATGTGTTCTCTTTGGTTCCGATATGAAGACTGAGGCTCAAAGTTGTTAAAGACCCCAAGTTCAGGGCTTGTCCTTTATACCACGAGATGATCTCTGTGATGCTTGTTCACTGTGCTGCATACAAGACTACATATAATTTCCTGAAAAGTACTACTCAGTTGACAGCAGAAATGTACCTCTGGCTCTACCTGGGACATTAACAATCTGTCTTTATATTTGTGTACTGATTGCCCTTAAGTGATAGACTTTTTATTAGGTTCCAATACTACTTCCATATATTTTATGACAAAATCCCCAGAAAATACACCCATTTTATGAGGCTAGCAGCATTTTCTTTTTTCTTTTCTTTCTTTTCTTTTTTCTAAGATTCTATTATTCATGAGAAACACTACAGAGAGAGAGAGAGAGAGAGAGAGAGAGAGGCAGAGACATAGGCAGAGGGAGAAGCAGGCTCCATGAAGGCAGCCCGATGTGGAACTCGATCCCAGGCCTCCAAGATCATGCCCTGGGTTGAAGGCAGATTCGCAATTGCTGAGCCACCCAGGCGTCCCAACATTTTCATTTTAGATGTGAAAAAGTGGGACTCAGAATGGTAGAGAGAATTGAGTATAGCTAAGAGCTAAGGGTTTGATTCAAATCCTGACTCCATTGGGAGATCCCAGACAGGTTACTAAGCCTTAGTATTCTCATCTGCCAAATACGATACCTCAGAGGATTAAGGATGAAGGACACCACCCACCATGGAGTTAGCACTCAAGATAACTTCAAGGTTTTGTTCTTTCAAAACCTTGCTGTATGGCTTGATGTTGGGATCTCAAGTTCCTTTATTTACTATTTTAGTGAAGACATCTCACCTTCCCTAGAAAAATTATGAAGTCTCCAAAGCAGTTAACAGACGTAAAATGATTTGAATTCTTGGATGAGAGTTTGAGCACATCTTGTGCTGATGTACAAAAATCGGTCCCGTTAATGGCAGTTGCAGTGTATGCATTCTGAAACAAAAGACAATGGTGGAAAAAAAAGTGAGGATCCTTATATTGTTTTAGAGATAATAAAATGACAATACAGAATATTTGCAAAATAAAGAAAAATGGTTACACCCACCATCTCTACCCATAAAAATCTTTTCATTTGCAAAGTCCCCTTCCAGTCTCTGGTTATGTACACATACATTTTCATATAGTTGCAGTAAATGGAAAAAATAACCAAGTATTTCTGGTCATTGTGGTAGATGGGACATCCCACTACAAACACATAGAAATGATAGGTGAAGAGTAAACTTTTTTTTTTTTTTTATGGAATGCTTCACGAATTTGCACATCATCCTTGCGCAAGGGCCATGCTAATCTTCTCTGTATCGTTCCAATTTTAGTATATGTGCTGCCAAAGTGAGCACTAGTAAACTTTTTTTTAATGTACAACAGAGTTTGAAGGGAGAGAAAGGAAGTTCAGGTGCTACAAACATTAACCTTAGCAGTTAATGAGAGCTGAATCCACAGGCGCAATGGGCAGGACTTAACCCCTTAGGATAAGAAACAACATTCAGGCCTTGCTGAGGAACTGAACTCGTCATGGCACAAATTCAGACTCAACCAACCATCCCAGAAAAGTGGTACAGAAATACACAATCTGCCTGGGGCCACTGAAATTACTAGAGTCTGGGCAAGGGCAAGGCAAAACCACATCCTCCTAAGCCTGGGAGTGGTGGAGTCCCACAGAAAACCACCCTTGAAGACAATGAAGTAATGCTCATAAGACAACGTCAGATGGCCCAAGGAAAAGAACGTCACAACAAAAAAGAGAATCTGTACCCTGAGAACAATCTGAAATAAAATATTCAAGAAAGTATGTTTAAATGCTAGGACAATGAAGGCTGGCTTAGGGTTGTAAATTTGAGCCCCACATTAGGTGTAGAGATTACTTAAAAATAAAATCTTAAAAAAAAATAAAGATGCTAAGACAATGGTAAGAATAGTGACCATAAGAATGAACAGCTTGGTATGAAAAGTGAAGAGGCAGGGGCTCCTGGGTGGCTCAGTCGGTTAAGGGTCTGCCTTTGGCTCAGGTCATGATCCCTGGCTCCTGGGATTGAGCCCCACATTGGGCTCCCTGCTCACTGGGGAGTCGGCTTCTCCCTCTATCCATCCCCCACTGCTCGTGATTTCTCTCTCACTATCTCTCTCCAATAAATGAATAAAATTAAAAAAAAAAAGAAGTGAAGAGGCAAAGTCAAAAGCAAACTAAATAGAAATTCTAGAAATGAATAAATATATAGTTTAAGTGGCACAGTGTCATTATTATATACTTGGCTTTTTTTCCTTTATATAAAATAAGCATTTTCATGTTGCTTGATGGTTTTATACTTTTAATTTTTAATAAATACATATTCTATCAGGTGTGTCTGTAGCACATAGACTATTTCAAATATTTTGCTATATAAAAACTATGCAGGGGCACTGGAGTGGCACAGTGGGTTAAGCATCCAACTCTCAATTTTGGCTCAGGTCATGATCTCACGGTCTGTAGGATCCAGCCCTGCATCAGGGCTCCGCACTCAGTGTGGCGTCCGCTTGAGATTCTCTCTCCCCCTCTGCGTCTCCCCCCACTAACACACACTCTCTCTCTAAAATAAATAAATCTTTAAAAACAACAACTATGCAATAGACATCTTAATTTCTGGTTTTTGGATAATTTCTTAAAGATAAATTTCCAGAAATGGGATGATGAAGTCAAAAAGGAACACATGTATGTATTTGTGTATGTTTATGTTCATGAGAGAGGATTTCTTGGATCATTTTTCCAAAATATCTTCTTTTTACGAGTATATAATTTCAAAACTATCAATTTCTTTTTTTTTAAAACCATCTATTTCTTATATTTCTCTTGACATCTTTAAAAATGCTATTAGCACTGCAGTTTAGAGCACAGAATTTATAACTTCCCGGGGGAAAAAATAGACTATAATGCTACCTTCTTGAGTTTTGTCATTTCTTTCTGCTTAGGAAAAGGATGACATTTTTTTTATCTCATGATCTACAAATTAATCCTTTCCTATACCTGCTCAAAAGCATTGTAAGGAAACCATTTTGGAGTCTATTGCAGTTAACCCACCTCCCAGTGCTGCAGGTCTTAATCCTAGAAAGTGATGGAGGAGACGGAGAAAAAGGGGTAGAACTGATTTACCAAACTCCCTCTTCACCAAGGCCAACTAGAGAGCAAAGTTTGGTTCTCAAAGACAAAAGCTGGGTACCCAGCTCCCCCCACAGGGTACCCTACTTGCTTGACAGGGGATATCCTGTCAGATGTCAGATGAATTCCCTGCAGAAATGCCTTCATGGTATTCGACAAAGAATTTTTGTCTTCTGACTTAGATGGAATGCATGTGAATTTTACTTTTAAAACCCCAAACTGGTTGTTGAAGAGAGCTGACCCCAGTTTGGGGACTTCAGTCTTGAATAGGGATATGAAAACTGATTTGCTCATTATTTAACTAAACATCCTCAATCATCTAAGATTCTAAGAGCCCTGATGACCAATTCATTATCCTGATAATACATTTGTAGGGTGGGTAAAGAATAGCATTATCATTCTTTTATAGAGACCAGGATCAAGGGCATTTCTCCAGATTCCCTGGTAATCTGAGAGACTTTTTTTCATTCTAACTTTCTGGACATTACACTATCAATTTTCACTGGGACAAAACGCTATTGAAAAGCAATGCTATTGAAAAGCGTGGTAGTGAAGATAAGCACAGGCTCCATAACCAGTCTCTGGGTTCAAATCCCGGTTTTACCACCAAACTGGCTGTCAGTCTTGGGCAAATGGGTTTTACCACTTTCCGACTTCAATTTCCTCATTCATAAAGTGAGTTATAGCACGTACTGCAAGGGGGAGTTGGGAGGATTAAAGAACATATTCCCTATAAAGCAGTTAGCAAAGCGCGTGGCACACAGAAAACATGTAGCAAACCAGGGACCTATTATCATCCAGGCCTCAGCAAGGATGACCTCATTTACAGCTGGGAAACACAGGCCACTCTCAGCACTGAGGAGGTGTGGAAATGACCCATGGTTTCTTTATCTGTAGGCTTTGATCCCGTGCACTCTCAGGGATCCAGGAAGGGCAGGACTTGCTTCTCAGACCACATTCCAGGGCCCAGCATGGTCTTTCTTTACAGCAGCTCAACCCTGTGCTACTCAGTGGCTTTCTTTGCTTTCAGGCTCTGTCCCCAACCTGCCACCCACTTCCCACCTTTAAACTGGGCTTCTTAGTGTACTTCCCAACTTATATGGGGGAATACAGTTTTTGCGAGGCCTTTTCCTGCCAATCAGTGCCTCATGGCCAATTTAGCACTACTGTTCATAAGCAATAAAAATAGATTTTGCTTCTTGGCTAAAATGATTAAAGGTTAAAATGGTAATTTCTCACACATGTGTTGACTCCGCAGATTTTTTGGGGCCCATAACCATTTATCTTTTCTCTAATGTATCATGCCCACTGAAAGAGGGCCTTAAAACCACTCTGACGGGGAAATTATATATGCCTTCCTGCAGTTACTACACCACTAGTATTTTACCACAAGGTTCAACCCTGAGTGCAACAGAGAGACCTAGAATTAATGTCGGAATGAATAGCTGGAGGAGGGAAGTATCACTCGAGACACAGGATATGGATTGAAAATTTCTGCAGTTTCAGCATTAGCTAATTTATACTTATTCTCAATAGAAGCTGCTTCCTTGTCAGGCAGCAGGGAGATGGATTGCTCTAAATGTTCAGTGTGGTAAATTCTTGCTTGGAGCATTCATCTGGGCTGACCGAACTCGAGGTGAACATGCTAAGCTAATTTGCAGACCTTAACGGTAGGGGGAAAGGACTGCATATAGTGAGTGGGTAAACGTTGTGTTGGTTGTGAAAGTTAGTCAGGAGGTCCTGAAAGCTAATCTTGAAGCAAGAAAAGACGTAGTGGTTTCAGCCTCTTAATTTATTACCAGAAATATTGAGTGGGCATGTTTCAATAGTGTCCCCAAACAAGTGGATATTTCCATGTCTGGAAACCAAATGGAAGAGAAAGATTCCCAACTTGACAGTGGTAGTGCCTCAATATTTTATCTCCATTCTCATTCCCTGGCCTGAGGTTGAAGACTCCCTCCTCCAGGTGTGGTTTGATTAGTTTTTCTTTCATGGACTGTCACAAGCAGAAGGGGAGGGAGGGGGAAAGGACACAAACAAGGAAGGGCCTGCCTGGTGGTGAAGACTGGTGAACAGTGAGCTGTGACTCATGCACAGACGTGAAAGCAACATGGAGGAGGAGCACAGGCTGGGGGTGATGGGAAGGAAGGAGTGTGGGGAGGGGAGTGGTGAGGAAGACTTCAGAGAAATGGCAGGTGGCTGATCCCTGAAGCTGGCTGGTCCCTGTAGGGTTGGGGGTGGGGGGCTGAGGCAGCAGCAGGAGGCTGTGAATGAGACCAAAGGGCCCAGAAGAGGAGTGTAGTAGGATATAGGCCAAGCGGAGCTGTGAGCCAGACCTCGGTGGGCCTGAAATGCCCTGCTGTGGAGCAAGGGGGCAGACTGGAAGTTTCAGGATTCATGTCATTTTCAGCCCGCGCTTCTAGAAGCTCTCCCAGGCTGCCCTGTGCTCTCTCAGGGCAGATCTCCCCTCATCACTATCTCCTGTTTAACCACAAAGCCTGTATCTCTTCTCACCTATGCATTTGGGGAGCCCCAAGCACCTCCATCATGCCTAGTGGGCCCTGCATAAGTTATGCATAAATGTGGTGCAGTCATCCATCCACTGAGCACGTGGCTGCCATTAGCAGTCATAAGCCAGGGGTCTGGCCCAAAGAAAATGAGCCCTTCTCTGGGGAGCAAATAAGAGTATTAGGAATTGTAATACTTGTAAGTACTCTTTCCAGGTACTCTGCTTCCCTCCACCCCACTTCAGGACATGCCCTAGCGACATGTCCTAGGGTGGTTCACAGTAGTCTTCATCTGA